ATCCTGAGCTGTTGGGCATACTGTGTAACCCTTTTAACAGGGAAGTCCTGTAGCCTCTAGCTAGCTGCTAAGAGAAGCTGCTGCAGAGCTTTTATTGCTCCATAGTTGCTCAGAGGCAATAATGATTAATTGATCAATTGTTGATTTATAATGATCAGTTTGAAGTGGGAATGGAGAAGAGAAAGCATACCTATTCCACCTGTTCTGCTCTGTACCCTGTGACTATGATGAGTGGGATATCATCATGATTTTCATTTTTTTTCCCCTCCCCAGAAATCACTTCTACCAGTTTGGGGAGATCCGGACGATAACGGTGGTGCAGAGGCAGCAGTGTGCTTTCATCCAGTTCGCCACCCGCCAGGCTGCAGAGGTGGCTGCTGAGAAATCCTTCAACAAGCTCATTGTCAACGGTCGCAGGCTCAATGTCAAGTGGGGAAGGTGAGTGTGGGGGGAGGAAGCCTGGAGGATTCTGGCTCTCAGTAGGTTCTGCTCTCAGTTTACGTAGTCTTGATAAGGAGGGTTGGATATTATGCTGGAGTAGATACTCTACTGGTAAATAGTTGGTATACAGTTTGGCTTTGTTTCTGCAGTGGGATCTGGGTTGGAGATGACACAAATAGTGTAAGGGATTTCCTGGCTGAGGGCTATAGATGGGTTTCTGTAGTTTTGCTCCTAGTCTGTCTCCTGTTTGCACACTTTGTACCGCCTGTCTCTGGTGCTGCAAGTTTTTCGTCTTTGGCCTGAAACAATGGGTCTGCATTAGATAAGGTGAAACTACTGTATTACAAATATTTCCTTATCCTGCTTTTTCTCATCCTTGTTCTCAAACTTTTGTCTGTTTTTCAGGTCCCAGGCAGCAAGAGGAAAAGAAAAGGACAAGGAAGGTACTACAGAATCCGGGATAAAGTTGGAGCCAGTTCCAGGACTTCCTGGTGGTAAGGGAGTTGTTTTAATTTCTGAAACACTTAGTGAGCTGGGCTGGTGTTTAATTTTTGGGAGCAGTGACAGTTCAGGATGGTAGAGACAGTGGTGAGCCCAGAGCAGTTACAGTAGCTTTGCAGCAGATCCATCTGGGATGGGAGATGAGCTTTGTTTAGAAGCAAATCCTGGATGAAAAGAGAGTTCTTTATGTGATGAGTGAGAAGTTAAAGCTGAATTCAAGGTACTTAGGTCTGAGATGCTGGCGACCCATGCTTTTAATGTTTTCCCAATCCACTGAGCATTGTATGATGGAAAAAGCAAAGCTGGTTTTGGGTGAAGAAAATTGGTGACTGGAATTTCAGGGCAGTCCTGCTCTCATGGTTCAAAGGTGCGATGGTAGCAGCAGTTTGCCCTTGTGAAAGCGTGGATTGTGCCCCCACTCCAAAGGAGATACTTCTGCTTGTCTTGCATGAGATTTTCCATAATCACTCTGTACTTTTTCTATAGCTCTTCCCCCTCCTCCAGCTGCAGAAGAGGAGGCTTCTGCAAATTACTTCAACCTACCTCCAAGTGGCCCCTCAGCCGTGGTGAACATTGCCCTGCCACCTCCTCCTGGCATCGCTCCACCGCCACCTCCAGGTACTTGTGCTTCCCCCTCTAGTGGGAGTGTGGAACTTGGTGTTAGATGGTCTGTTCCTCCTTGCCTGGCCATGCTGCAACTGATGCATGCCCTGAGCTGATTTTCCTCATCCCTGATCACACAGTGTCAACTGATGATCTAAACGGAGCTGTCAGCACAGTTTAATTAAACTGAGCTGCCTGTTGTGGTGGGTATTCACTTGCAAATTCCCAGGCACGTCGGGATCCCTGTTACTGGTACTGAGACCTACTCAGTGCTTTTGCTGGCTGTGTAAATGCCACATTAACCCCAACTTCAAAAGGTAATTTTGCAGCTGGTTGAATGCCAGCCTGGTTTTGGCTCTCTGTATATATCTATCCAGAGATGCTTTTTTTTTTTTTTTTTTTTTTAATGGAACGTCAGACTCTTTGGGGTATATTTTCTCTGCTGCATGGTTGAACAGAAAACATTTAGATGGGCGTTACAGACATCTGCCCGGTTACCCCACCGGCTTTTATCTGTGAATAAGGGTGTGTGCTGGGTAGGGATTGCCCCCAGAAAAGAGGGAAGGAGTTTCTGGGGAGATGGGAGATGAGCACATTTGCGAGGCACAGCTGTGAGCCAGCTGTTGTGTCGGCGCTTTGAAGCAGCGGAACATACGCATCGGGTTTTCTGCCGCCTTGCCTGAAGCTGCCAACTTTATTCCTGCAGGTTTCGGACCACACATGTTCCACGCCATGGGGCCCCCTCCTCCCTTCATGAGAGCCCCAGGCCCCATCCACTACCCCTCCCAGGACCCCCAGAGGATGGGTGCCCACGCAGGAAAGCACAGCAGCCCCTAGCACGTCCTGCCACCCTCATCCTTGAAGTAAATGTTATTTTCTAGTTACCATGGTAGCACCATATGTTGAGCTGTGGGTGAGCTAGAGACGCCTTATTCCCCTGCTTGCAGCCACGGGGCAAGCTGAGCTCCGTGTCTCCGCTAGCTAATCGGATTGTTGGTATGTCCCAGGTCTTCTTTAAGTGTTGGGGGTGGGTGGGGGACAGACAGGGGGGGCTGTCTGTGAGTCAGGGGTACCAGAATTACAGTGCTGTCTGTGTATCCCATTGGCACACTTTTGAAATAAACTTCTGGAAAAACAAAACCCAACCCTTTGCAAGCCCATTTTGATGTCCTTAGTGTGAACATTATGGACTGTTCAAATGTAACCAGAGACTCTTCTCTGTTAGGTAACTAATGATGTGCTAATCTAATGAGGTGTTAAACTAGGGCTGAATAAGAGCTGAAAAGCAAGCTCATCAGATGTTGTTGCCATGGGCAAACCCATGGCTTTGCCTTACACGGAGTTTTCCTCCCTCCTTCTTCCTGACTTCTGGCTTTAAAAAAAAAAGACAAGAAAACAAAACCTTTTTTTGAAGCAAAACTTTTTTTTGAAGCATCACTTCTAATCCTGCACGTCCTTAGTGAGACAAGTGCTGGGTCAGGCGAGCAGCCCCTGGGCAGTGCAGGCATGACATGGAGTGACAGGTCAGCAGTTGCCCAATTTAGCCAGGTGACGGCCCCCTCAGTGGCCCCACAGGCTGGGCTGTGTTGCTGACAGCTGCAGGGGAGGGCACTGTGCAGCTGCAGCTGCCCTAGGGGAGATTTGGGGCTTTCAAGGCCCTTAGTGCAGTGTCTTAAGCTGTGAGAAGGGTCCCACTTCATCCTGCTTTGATAAGACATGAAGCTTTTCCTTCTGTGCTCCAACTGTAGTGCTTGGCCAGGAGTGACTGCATCCCACATGGAGCCTGCTGCTGAGTAAGGTCTGTGTGTACATGTGGTTGGAGAATTTTAGATTTATTTGTGTGTCAGCTGCTTTTGTGCAGTAGATCTGCAGACATCTTTCTGTAAAGCAAAACGTGATGGGGCTTGTTCTGAAGCTTCATTTGCTTGTTTCAAAAAAAGTACATTAAAATATTTGAATTTTCACCACTGTGCTTAGACCCTGCTTCCTGCAGCACAGTGTCTGGGGACTTTGTCTGATTTTTATGTGGCTGCTCCCACAGCCAAGATGCAGCGTGGGCAAGGACAGCACGTCTGCTTTTGGTTTCATGTGCTGTCTTTTATGGTGCCACTGGGTCCCATGGTGGTGCCAGCCCTGCCAGGCTGTTGGGGTGTAGCACTTGTGCTGGCTTTCTCTGGAGAAAGCTGGGCTTTGGGCATGGGTAATTAGTTCCAGGGCAGTGTTGGACAGAAGAGGCTGCTGATGGATGGGAGAGGGCTGTGGCTTTTGCCACTGCTCGGGCCCCAAGTCTCCATAGCCAGGGCCTGTGAGTGCTGTGCAGGTACATCTCAAATGCAAGAGGCTTTACATCATGGCTGTTTATTTATTTATTATTTCCAGCCAGTTCCCTGGGGTTACATGGCTTCTGCAGCTGATGGACAAAGAGGAGAGAGATGGAATTGGAACAGGGCAGCATGTTGAGCATCACGGATATCCAGATCAGTAGGCTGTTGTTAGCTGCAGGTCCCACTGTGTGTCACTGCTGAAAATGGTGATGTAGTTGGATCCTCACTGCTGATTTTCACATTCCCAGAGAAGCCTGTGTTCTCTCTAGAGTCATGACCATGCTGCTTTTCCTTCCCTCTGGAACACTGTGGCAGGATCCTCGGGCTAGTGTGGGTCCAGGCAGCGGGTCCAGGCAGGACCTGATTGTTGTTGACCAACCCCATGAAGCAAATCTGGCATAAGTCACTCAGAGGGCTTAGATGTTCAAGCAAGGCATGCAAATAGCAGTAGAAAGGGGAAAATACCAGCTGCCAAGTGCTAGCCAGTGGAAAATACAGCACAATTTTCCAACTCCCACTGTTCCTCTCCCATCTATCCTGGTTGTGCTGTGTTGGTAAACAGGCAGATTCCCAGTTCCTCATTTGTTTTGTTGTCCAGCCAAGCCCAAAGTAGCTGCTTTTAACATGCCAATGCCTCGAGTAACTTGTTTTGCTGCTGCTCTTCCATTATCGCCTCCTCTCACCATCCTGACTGGAATGACAGATGTAGAGTTGTCCTGAAGATGGAATTTCTCTGCAAAAGCACCAGCTGTCAAAGGAGGTCTCTTGTGGTGGTGAAGACACAGCGAGGGAGTTTTGGTGTTTTGCAGCTGGTGGTGCTGCTCTTTTCCACGAGGCAGGGCAGAGGACAGGCTGTACAGGGTGTTTTGTATGGGAGCTTGTGGGGATCTGCTTGATTAACAGCGAGAACTTGGCTGGCTGGCTTGGCACTCACTGCCCTTGTGACCGGGGCTGCTGCAAGGGGAATTCAGAATGGTCCCAGACTCGAGCTCGGTCAAACCCCGTCCGAAGGTGACAACCCGAGACCACTGGCTGAGCTTCCACGAGGGATTCCTGCCCCCCTCTCCCCCACCCTGCGAAGTGTGTCCGAGTCCAGCGAGGAAACCATCTGTGGTGGTGGGGAGGGAACAGCTACAGCTCTTCGCTCTCCGGCAGGATCCGCACCCAGCCTTGCGCCACGCGGTTGAAGTTGGGCCGCTGGGAAATCACCTCCAGCGCGCTCAGGCTGTCCAGCTCTACAGTGGGCAGGGAGAACAGCTCCCCAACCACCGCCCTGTCAAACGGGGCTGGGGTCCTGCGGAACAAGGAGAAGCAGACTTAGTCACAAGGCCATGCTGTGGAGGTGATAGAAAAAGTAGGTCTGGACTTACTAACTCTGAGCCCAGCACAACCTAGCAGTTTCTGTGGCAAATGACAACTCTCCTCCTCCCCAGGACACTGTTAGAGCCACTGCCAGCCCAGCAAGGCGCTTCTCTGGTGCAGAGCCCATCTCAGCTCAAGCTTTGGCAAGACTAGAGAGCAAGGCTTGGTGCCTGAGTGCCAGTGGAAGTGTTCTGGACATGGAAGGGCTTAGGTTCAGAGAGCAGTGACAAACCCCCTGTTCTTTAGAAAGCGTCTCAGTGTGTTCTGCAGAGGGCCGAGGCTGATGGCTGCTCCAGATCCCTCCAGCACATGTGCAGGCAAATGTGTCTCTCTTGGCCCTGGCTCCATCCCACCTTTTGGGATGGCTCCTCATGAACTATGACTAACAGGAGGAGCAGTGCGGGGGCAAGAGCTGTCATCCCTTTCTGGAGAAATGTGGAAAGGGACTGGGGAAGAGTGTGCCAGCCCCCAAAAAGCCAAGAATGTTGGTTTTGGAGCAGCACATGGAGGCTGAGCTATCAGAGGCAAAGCTGGGAATGTTTGCTTTGGGAAGCACGGCTAGAACATGAGTAACGTGGCACTGTTTTGCAACAGAGGAGAAATAAGAGGGGGAAAGGTAAATGAGAGAAATTTGTTCTAGGAACTTTCTGATCTTCTGGGAAAAGAGAGTCTTTGTCAGAGCTTGGTTTTCACTCTCTCTTAAGGCAGCACGGTGGACCCAGGTCTTTGCATCACAGCCTGAATGTTTCAAATTGGGAATAAATCAGTCTTTAACTCAGTTGCTGTTGAAATGGTGGACTTGCCCTTGCCCTGTGACCCATGTGATATGGGATTCAACCAGCCTTAGGCAAGACCACTGGCTTTTCGATAGCTGATCTCTTCCAAAGGGCTTGTTTTTCTGTGGTTTGGTATTTGAACTGAGAAGTGATTTAAAAGCCAACAGCTTGGAAGATCATGAAAAGCCCAGTTAAAAGCAGATTGGCTCTCTGAATCTTCCTGCCTCAGTGAAGAATTAGAGGAGGTGGCAAGAGGCTTGGAGTTAGATTAGCATCCATCTGTATTAAATTACAGTTGAAGACTTTAAATAGAAAGGCAGCGTGTGAGAGAGGAGAAATGGTGCAGGGTAAAGCACTATTCAGAAACATGCCCTTGCTTCAGTCCCTGTCCATAAATAAATCCCAAGGCAGGAACATGGCTAAATGTTGAAATAAAAGAGCCAAGTGCCTGCAGCAGCTCCTCGTTCTCCCCCTGCAGCACCTCCTTGGCTGTAACTCCACAGGAAGAGCCACATGGCAAAGCACCAGGGCTGAGGGGGAGGAGAGCAGCAAAGGGATGGTGGTGGCCAGGCTGATCTCTGGCTTTTGGGATGCCGTTCCCATGTGGAGGGGTTGTGGTTCCCCACAGCCCCTTCTGCCAGGTGCTCAAAGCACAGCACTTGTGTGTCCCACGACCCAAATCCAGCCCTGGTGTGGACACAGCAGAGCTGCTCCTGGCACAGGCCCAGCACTGGGCCCATGGTCTGACAGGGAGCAATGCTGTGTCCTACTGGGGAGCTCCAGTGGGAACTCAACTGCTCTAAGGCAGCTCTGGCCAAGCCACCAAGGCCTGTGTAATTCCATCCTCATGACAGAGGCTTTCAGCGAGGAGGACAGCCAGGACCTTGGTTTGCAGATTCCCTGGGATGATGTTCACCTTAAAAGTTCAGTTCTCATCATTCTACCATGGGCTGCTGGTGCTTTGCTACCACCAGATCTGCATCTACTGGATCCCCACCAAGCACCTTTCCAGAAAGGAAACCTTCCTTGGCAGTCTCTGCTCCAGCCTTGACCCAGTGTAATTTGGAGGTGTGAGGAGGCACCAGCCGTGCTCCATCAGAAGCAGCCACAGGGCATGGAGCTTGCCAGGCTGAGCCACAGAAATCCCCTGGCCTAGAGGCTTCAATCCCAAGCAGGTGTTAGGAAGGAATCTGGTGACCTCTTTTAGCACTTTGTGGGACGATTAACCTTATACCCCCACCACTTCCAGCAGCTGCTTGGATACCTTAAGGAAATTAGGAGAGAGACTTGGCACTGCCTGTGTCATTCCTCCACCCAGCCCAGAGCTGAGCCCAGCTGGGAGCAGGAGCGATTCCTTCTCCAGGGCCATATGCATGAGAATTAGTCCTCACAAATGTCATCCCTGAGGTTAGCCAGTCAGATCAAACTGCTTAAGGCTGTGCAAACCCAGTGGTGGAGCTGAAAGGAGATCTGGGGAGCTGCTGGAGGCAGGGACCTTTGCAGGGAGCCACAGAGGAGCTCCTGAGCAGGAAAAGAGCATCCTGAGCCCTTGCTGTGCCCCTGTGGCGTATAGAGAGAGCACAGACCACTGTGTTTCCCTCACAGGGTGCTGGATGCTTCTCGAGGCTGAAGGGCTTGGCCAAGGGCTGGCTGGGTTGGTGGTGCCTGCCCGTTACCTGTTGAAGCTCCTGAAGTCCCACGCAGGGGGTCTCATGGGTGGCTGGTTCTTGCCATACACAGCATCATTCCTGTCACCAAAGAGCTCCTGCCACGGGCACCGGTAGCCCTTGGGGATGGCGGTGACGTTGAACTTCTCCGGGGGGATTTCTTTGAGGGGGCTCGAGTACCCTGTGCAGGGGGAGAGGCAGCGTGGGCTGCTGGGGCTGGGAACAGCCTGGCGTTTGCATGGCCATAGAGGACCTGCTGCTGGGGCTGGGATTGCATATCTCTAAGATAAATATGTATTTATATATTTGTATATATACAAACTCTAGGGAAGGGTTTGGGGCAGAACCCTTGTCAGGCAGCAGCTCGCGGCCTCCAGCCCCACAGAGCTGGGATCACAAGCGGTGTTGGGTTTGGGGTGCAAGCAGTATTTATTTACCTGGGGCCAGGGCACTGGGGTTCAGGACTTTGCTCATCTGCAGGACTTTCTCTGTCTTCTTGGGCACTTCTGGGGGGCCACCCTGGGGCGATGCTGCCACGTGGAGCTCAGAGTGATAATTCTGCTGGCCCCCAGCGTTCTCCCCTGCCTAGGGACAGAAGAGTCAGGAGGCACAGGGCACTTTCCGCTGCCCCCACTGGGACTTGGGAGGTGGTTGAAAGCACCTCATAGCTCCCTCCATCTACTCACCACCCCTTCATTCGCTGTTCCCTCTGCATCGCTTTTCTCAGTGTGGTGTGAGCCCCCTGGCCCTGGGAGCTACAGGAGGTAAGGAGAAGGGTGAGTGAGTGGATACTGAACTCCTTGCTTGCCCATCCCCATGCCCAGCCCATCAAGCCATCTCTCCTCTCGCTTCATCTCAGCCGACCATGGCTGCCCTGCACAGAGACCCCCAGCCCTACCAGGAATCACTTCCCTGCAAAGGCTGAGCTGGGGAAGGGCTGTCTCAGACCCACCTCCCTGTAGCCACTGGGATGCTCAAAAGTGAAGCGCTGCATCCGCCTCTGGCGCTGTTGGAAGAGCTGGGAGCCACGGTTGTTCCGCAGGGAGAGTTCCTCGATCATCAGGTCCTGTGTTGTGCTCATCTTCTTGCCCAGGTCCAGGTGGGGCTCTGGGGAGGCCAGGAGAGAGCACAGCCACAGCTGAGGATGCTGCTGTGCTGGGGACCCCCAAACCCAGCACAGAGAGTGTGTTCCCCCTTTGGGGTCCCTGTTACATGGCTTAGCCACGTGCCCGCGCCAGGAGCTGTGTCAGGGACTGGTGTTTCCTCAGTGTGAGGAATTGTCAGGGAGTTAGCTCAGCTCCAGAGGCTCAAACAGCCTCAACTGCCCCATGCATGGCTCAGTGGCCTCAACCAGAGCTAGCTCTGGTCCTTAGGCAGGGACGGCAGCACTGCTCTGGGGCTGGTGGCATCCCTACACCCCCTTACCATCTTCAGGGCTCGGTCTCATGATGGTCATCACTTGCTGCCGTGCTCTGTGGCAGGGGGATGGATTCTGCCTGGCTGGAAAGAGAAGCACCCCCAGAGTGAGACCAAGCATGGGGATGTGTCAGCCCCAGGAGTGCCACAGAGAGATGCCCGGTTTCAGCCGAGCATCTCCCCTGTCCAGCATCATCCCTGAGCATCACCTGCAAGCATCATCCTTAAGTATCTCCCTGGGCTGGTCTCCATTCCTTTCAACAGACATAGGGAATGTTCAAATCATGTTGCCCCTCAGCCCCTGCCTGTCACCTTTCCTTTCTGCCTTTCTTTAGGGCAGAAAATACCCTCAGCTCTGTCCTGGCCCACAGTGAGCCAGTGCCCTTGTGCCCTGAGTGCCCTCGGAGCAGCACCTGCTGCCACAGCCAGCGGGGCCAGGGGGCCCTGGCTGCCTCCCCACAACACCTCCGCCTTAGCAGAGCTATTTTCAGCCACTGGCCCCGAGGGTGCAGGAGCTGCAACCCTGACCCTGCAGGGAGCTGGTGAGCCCAGCCAGTGGCAAAGAGGGGCACGGGACCACCGGGCCGGGTTGCTCCTTTGTGGAGAGGCAGCTGGAACCCAGCCCTGGTGTGAGCCCCCCAGGCTGCCCACCTGCAGGAGCACCCTCCTGTGCTGCCCGGGCACTCAGCTCGGTAAATGGGAGCTGTTAGACCCTGTTAGGTGCATCTGGTGTCCCTCACCTCAGGCTGGTGCTGGGCAGCTTCCCCTACGGGCCCTGGAGAGCAGAGGGTCCCCATGGGGCTGTGGGTGCCTGGCATGCAGCTTCCTGCCAGCCCTGAGCTCAGCTTTAACCATCTGCACAGCGAGCCTCGGACCTGCACCCTGTCCTTCCCCCCACCCCACTCCAGGGAGACTGTACCCTGACCCCCACAAGTCGTGATGTCCCCACCACCAAGGCCGGGACATCCCCAAGCCCTCAGCACCCTCCCACCCAGCCACCTCCTGTGTGGGACCTCACCTTCCCTACCTGGCCAGGGGATGCCCCAGATGCCGGGGAGTGAAGATGCTTCTCCTGCTGTGGAGGGTGATGAGGCCAAAGCCAATCTGCAGCCACCAGTGCTTGGTGGTCCTTCACAGCAACCCCTGGGCTCCTGCTGCTCGACCCAACCCGTCCCAGGCTCCAGCCCAGATGCCAAGGTCCAGCCACGGGACAGAAGTTATTTCTGGCTGAGAAAGGGGGCGGAGCAGGGCTGTGACCCTTGGGGACTGGGATGCCGTCACCCCAGCACGGGACAGGTCTGACCCACGGGGATGAGGGTGCCATCACCCTGGCATGAAGCAGGGCTGTGACCCTTGGGGACCAGGATGCTGTTACCCCAGCACGGAGCAGGGCTGACCCACGGGGATGGGGATGCTGTCACCCTGTCATGAAGCAGGGCTGACCCCTGGGGACAGGCATGGTGGGTGTGTAGCAGCAGCAGGAGGTGGCCTTGTGCCATGCGTTCCCAGGCCACCTTGGGGACAGATCAGAGTCAGGCTGGGTGGGATAACGGCAGTTTATTTCTGAGCTGGGTGTACAGCGGCGTGGTGAAGGCGGGTTGTGGTGGCTGGTGGAGCGAGGGTGGGAGATATGTCCTGGGAATGGGGGGGCTGTGTTCCAGCAAGAACTGCAGGGTGAAGGTACTCCAGGGAACAGGGATGGGCTGGCTCCAACAGTGTGACTTGGGGAATGGGAAGGAGTGACCAGGGCTCCCTGAATGGGAACGTGTCAGAGCTCTGGCAGCCCAAACTCAAACTCTTTTCCAGTGCTGGTCTCACCAAGGTGTGGGAACACTGACTCGTCCCCATGGGGGCACTCTCAGCATTGTCTCCTGTGCTGATACCTCCTTCAAACCCTCTGCAACATGTACCACTTCCTTCAGCCCCCCACAGCCCCCCATCTCTTCCCACCTGCCCTGGCTGCCACAGAGCCCATCGGTTTCTCTGTGTGCCTCCATCCTGCCAGGGTGAGGATGAGGATGGGGTGAACCTGGGGATGGGGACAGTGACAGGTACAGGATGGGGCTGTTCCTCATTGTTTGGGGAGGGCAGGAGGGCACCTATAAACAGTCCCCTTAACGTGGCAATAAATAACTTTGGTTCTTTTTGGTCACCAGGGAAGGAAGGATTTGGGAGAATTTCTTTGAGAAGGAGTCAAAAGTGAAAAAAAAAATGCAATGAAGAACTGGGCAGATGGAATAAAAAAATTAACTTTTCCTTCCCAAAATCTGGTTTCAGTTGAAACTAGATAGATCTGGAGGCTGGGAACGGCTGGGAGAGGGAGCCTGGTGATGGCACGCTGCCCACCCCTGCTGGAGACATGGTGGCTGTGCCACCCCAGCGAAGCAGAGCTGCAGTGACACCCCAGGGTAACACCTGGGAGCTGGGGACAGGGGGCTCACAGGGGACCACCGAGCCCATCCCATCCTGGCTATGCAGGAGGGGGCTGGCTGGCGGGCAGGGGCTGCCGAGGAGGGGGCTGGCTCCCCCCACTCTGCCTGCTCCTGCCTGCTGACCACGCAGTCCTGCCCGGAAAGGTTAGGGTGGTAAAAATAGAGCAGGGCCACGGGATGGCGGGCGGACAGGAGGCACCTGACCCTGCTGGCACACCGAGGGGCTGCGCAGCTCCACAGGGACACTGGTGTTTGGGGACCTCAGCCCCGAGGGTTGGGGTGTTCCCGGTGTGGGGGGTCAGCGGGTGGCATCACCCAGGCTGGCAGGTCCAGGAAGAGGGTGGTTTGGCTGGGACTGGCTCGTTTAGGAGGTGCAGGGGGCCCCCGAGGGCAGACCCCCCGTCTTCAGCCGCAGGCTGCCGGTCCAGCCCCGGGGACAGAGGTTGAAGCTGTGGATTCCCGGGCTCTTGGTCCCCGAGTCTTCGGAGTCGAGGGAGACGTCCGAGTCCGTCGGGGACCGGGAGGTGCAGCGCTTGGCTGGGGACCGCCCGCCCACCACGGGGGATGGCAGGGGGCTCTTGGGGACGGGGGACAGCCTGGGCACGGGGCACGAGGACGTGCTGGGTGGCAGCAGGAGCCGGCGACCCTCTGCCCAGGCGGCTCGGGGCATGCCGGGGGAGGCACAGAACTGGGGGCTGCCTGCCCGGGGCGATCGCAAGGGGCTTTTGTGGGTGGGCGAGGGGCTGCCCAGGCTCCCCAGCGCGCTGCTGGCAGCCTGCAGTGCCGGCGCTCTGGGGCCCAGCCGGGGGGACTGGGGCAGGCTGGGGGGACCGGTGGAGATGGGGGTGAAGGGCCGGGAGCCCTCCAGCCCCACGGCTTTGGGAGAGGAGCTCTTCCTGCGGGCAGCGTTGATGATGTTCCTGGCGAGCCGCGCTTGCATCTGCCGGCTGGCCCGGGGGTCCGCGTCCTGCCGCAGAGGGGACAGGGACCTCTCGCTCCATGGAGGTGACATGGGAGGTCCCTCATCCAGTTCGGGCACCGAGGCCGGGCTGGCCCAGCCGTCCAGGCTGCCCGGGCGCCGCGCCAGCCGGGGCGTCCAGGTGGGTGATGCAGGGAGGGATGACCGCCTGTCCTGGAGAGGGACAGAGAGCGGGTTAGTGACCCCCACTCGGGGGGACGAAGGGGTAGAGCAGGGGGACAGAGGCAGGAGGGGTGCCAGGGTAAGATTCACGCTGGCTCAGCCCCACAGGAGCTGGGGATGCCTCCCTGTGCATTGCATCCCTGCAAGGGTTCCCCAAAACTCATTTGACTCTTCATCACCTTGCCTGCCAAGGAGGTCGAGTCAGGCTGAGCCTGCCATTAATCCTCCTTGCCCAAAGTACCCCTCAGGCCCTCTCACTACCTGCAGCTTCCTAAAGCCTCCCTCTAGGGGATGTTGCCTCAGGTGTCCATTGCCCAGCTTTGCTCCCCAGACGGCAGGAAAGAGAAGAGTCAGGTGTGACAGCGCAGAGAGTGTATTCAGAAAGAGGGGAAAAGAGAAAAACGCAGGAGAAATAAAAGCACAGTCAAAAGGCAACTTGGCACCGTGGAGAGAGTGGTGGGAGTAAGGGATGGGCAGAGGCACGACTGGACCGTGAGCCTCAGGCCGAGCATCGCCCAGCAGCCCTGCCCTCACCACCCTCCTCATCCCAGCACGTCCTTGCTTCCAGCCGTGCCACACAGCTGTGCCACACAGCTGGGCTTCAGCAGCTCCAGCACCGAGCCCAGGGAGGGACAGGCACTCCGCAGTGTCCCTTGTCCTGGCACCACAGGACTCTACTGTTCCCAAGGGATGCAGCTCTTCCTCCACAGTGAGGAAGCAAACGAGGACAGATCCTGAAGGAGCAGCAGAAGAGCCAGGAGCAGACACAGTGAGGTGGAAAGGTGGGGTGTCCCCTCCAGGTTTGCTTTGGTAGGAGGCCGAGAGGAGCCGCAGGACAGAAGGGATGCAGATGAGCAGGCAGAGCTCTGAGTGCTGGAAAGGCAGGAGGTGAGGAAAGGAGGGAGCCAGAGGTGCGATGCTCTGTACAGTTTCCAGGCAAGAGAAGAGAGAAAGCACCGTCAGCCCTGGCAGCACAGGCAGGCTCCTGATGGCTGTTTGGGATCCTGTGGGCTCTACGCCCCAACTCCTGCTGCCTCCCTGGACTCCTCAGCTCCCATTTCACTGAGGGCTCAGCAGCGCCTGTCACCCACTGTCCCAGCACTGCAGTCACTTCTTTTTTCCGTTTCCTTTTCTTCTCCCTTCCCCCTTTTTTTTTTTTTTTTTTTTTTTTTTTTTTTTTTTTTTGCTAGTTGGTTTGGCTTTCAGCACTCCCATGAGCACTTAGGGAGGACTCGGCCTACGACCCCCGTGTTTTTCTCTCTGCCACCACTACTTGTAATAAAAAGAAGGTTTCCACACCTGTGGCTCGATGCCGGCATTCCTGGTGGAGTAGGAGGGCCGGGGTGCCTGGAAGCCCACCTTCCCCCGGGGCGGCAGCAGGCGGCACGGGGAGGCCAGGAGCACCTCAGCCGGGGCTGCGGGGCTGGCACGGCTCTCCTGAGTCAGGGGCACAGCCCCGGCAGTGCCAGGGAAGGGGCTGGAGGTGGTCTGGCTGGCGCTGGGCACCACGGGGGGATGCCAAACAGGGGAAGGAGGCAACGGAGAGGTGGGGCAGGAGGCCTGCTGGGGGTAGGGATAGGCGTCTGGAAGAGAGGGTCTGGGTGGAGGCATCTCCTGGGGCATTGACCTTGACGGCCCCTTAGATGGGGAGAGGATGAAGAGAGAGGACTGGAGCTGGTAGGGCTGGTGCTTGGAGATCTCCAGCTCCTTCTGGGAGACCTCATTCTCCATCGGGTTGCCGCCATAGAGAGACGCAGGGGGGGTTTTGGAGGGCCTGGAGGGACTCTTGGAGGGGCGTCTGGAGACCATGGGTGACAGGTAAGCATTGTTGTCGTATTTCCAGGAGGGAGGCAGAGACATGGTGGGCGATGGGCACCGCAGCAGCTCAGGCTGGGAGGGAGCCTCGATGATGAACTTCTCCATCCTGGACTGCCGGCGGGCAAAGAGCTCAGCCCCCTTCCCTCTCGCCTCACTGAGGATGTGGCTGGGCTGCGGCTTCTGCTTGGGCTGGATGGTGGGAGACTTGAGGCAGGAGGACCATGCCGGAGCATCCTCAGCCGGCGGGAGGTGGTGCCCACCCCTGGCTGCGTTGTTGGGGACAAAGTTGGCAGCTTCAGCCCCAAGGGCAAAGGGTTCATCTTCAGCACCGGGCTCTCCCTGATCTTTCTGCTTCTTCCTGTTGTCTGCACTCTGAACCAGGTCCAGCAGGTCAGGGTTGGGGCCCAGCTTTGGCTTCTCCACAAAGGTGAACATGGACTTTCTGCTGGCTCTCCGGGCAGCCGACTCCTCCAGGATCCCTGTTTTGGGCAAGGGGTTTGGTCCACTCTCCCCGCAGCCCAGGAGGGGACCTGGCAGCATCTTCTGCTCCTGAGAGGGGTACAGGGCCGAGTAGGCAGGGGGGGAGCGGACACGGGTAAGGGGTGGGGGGCTGCTGAGGGTCTCCACGTAGGTGGGTGGCGGGGGCAGCTCTGGGGCAGGGGGTTCCTCCACGGGCTGGCTGCTGGTGGGGGATGCCTGGGTGCCGAAGGGTCTGGCTGTCCGGTTCTTCACAGGCTTGGGCTTGGCCAGGGTGAGATGGACCTCGTAGTACTGCCGGCCCTGCACCCCGTTCTGCTGCTGGCCACCTGGGGATGCCATCCCTGTGGCTGTGCCCGCTGGCGCACTGGGCACCTCACTGGGCACCTCACCGGGCACCTCACTGGGCACCTCGATGTTTTTCCCCTCCTCGGGTTGCTGTGGCAGGGCAAGAGGCGCCATGCTTAGCCCTGCAGGGGCTCCCGCATTCCCGAGCCCCTCCATCCCACTGGCCGCCTGCTCCTGCACGCCATTGGTGGCGGCCGATGCCATGTTTTCCTTCAGGTAGACGCTGAGTGGGACCTGCTGGGCTTCAGCAGGCGGCTCCTGGCACGGGGGTGCATTTGCCCGCATCCTCTCTCCCGCGTTGCCGGGCTGGTCAGGCTCCGCCTTCATCCCTTGCGCCTCGCCCTCCTCCATGGTCGCTTGGCGGGGCTGGGGCGCGGGGCTCAGCAGCAGCCCCTCGCCATTCCCAGCCCCCGTGAGCCCGTCGACGCGCTGCCTGCGGCGGTGGAAGAGCAGGACGCCCTTGGAGCTGGGGCTGGGCGCCGTGGTGAGCTGCGCCGCGATCCTCTGGCTCCGCGCCTTCGCCTCCTTCAGCTCCTTCTCCGAGAGGCTGGCGCTGCGGGAGAGACCTGAACAGAGGGGACAGAGGGGTTAGGGGGGCTCAGTGGGGGTGTGGGGTCTCAACCCTCCCCGCCCAGGACTGGCAGCCCTTCCTCCAGGTATCCCAACTCCTTTCCTGGCAGCTGAGGGAAGACAGGAGAGATGCTCCAGGGCTGGGGTACACAAGGGTGATAGCACAGTTCAGGGGCAGTGGGGACTCAGCCCAGATGCTGGGACAGATGGGAAAGCCCAAGGGACTCATAGGGACACTTGGGACCTTTCCCTCTATCCCACCCCATATTCCGTCTGGGCTCTGTGCATCCACTGCAGTGACCGTACGGGAAAGGGATTTCTCTGAGGGCCCGGCAGGTCTTTGTTTGCAACTCACACGGCTTTGGCCGTGGCCTGTAGAGGCAGTGGGCAGGGAAGAGGCCAATGTCTGTGTCTCCCCCACACCCTCACCCCAAATCCTGCCATTCTCAGCCCCGAAATAAATCTGAGGCCAGCAGGGAGATGCCAGCCTGCCATGACCTCATGGCAAGGCCGGGGGCCAGCCCCGTTGGGGGATTGATGCACGGAGCAACACGAGATGGCAGCAGCCGACAGAAGCTGTGCAGATCCTGACCAGCTGGACACAGACACCGGCACAGAGAGGAGCCACCCTCCCGCCTCAGGACTCGACACAAGTGCTAAAAACAACATGCTAAAAGCCTGGCACAAACCCCGTGGCGAGCAGCCGAGTGCCGCTGGGCTTCTCCTGTGCTGGCCAAAGGTCAGGGCACCAGCCCTTCCCGAAGACTGAAAGGATGTGGAGCTGCCGGGAACACATTTTCTCAGGGTGAGCAATTTCCTACGAGCTCACTCCAAAGTGCCCGTGGGAAGGGCAGCGTCCCCAGTCCTGCCGAGGCCACTGCTGGGCACAGACACCAGTGCTGACCATCAGCATCACCCCCACACCCACCAAGGGTGCAGCCCCCACTCCAAAGGCTGCTGGGATGGCTGGGATGGGTGTCCCTTCTCCGGCCTCAGCAGGGAGGTGGGTGGCCAGCCCGCCCCGAGCCCTGCTCCCCTTCCCTTCCCATCCCTTCCCGTCTTCTCTTCCTTCATGTGTTTCTGATTTTCTTGCCTTCTGTGCCGCTTGGGAGCCTTCCAGGATATTTTCAGCAGTGGCTCAGCCTACCAGCGAGGGAAGGGATAGATGACTAAGCCAAATCCTTCCAGCAAGCCCACGGTAAGCAGGAGGGCTCTTGGAAGCTGGGCACCTCTTCTTCCTCCTACCCTCCTACCTCCCTCAGCACCCAGCAAGTCCCTGCACACCGCTAAGGCGTGCAGGATGCCCTGGATGAAGCCTTCAGGCTGCCTGGCAGGAGGTTTTTGGCTGGGCACGGGGCAGAGGAGGCAGAGATGCCAGCGCAGACTCTCCTGGAGATGAGGAGCCCATCCGCAGGGGCGATGCCGGTGGCCAACATCCCCCCCGGTTCGCGCCCGGCATTGTTTAACGCCCCATCTCTATTTGCTTTGGCGGCGGTCACAGAGCGGGGCCGCGGTTTCCTCCGGCCGGGCTGGCTGGAGGGCGGCCAGCACCGCGGCCCCCGCGCCGCGGGGTCACCCTCGCCGCCTTTATCTCCGAAACGGAGCAGAAACACGGCCAAGGAGCCATTGAGAAACAAGCCACAGGCTCCAGATGTCTGCGGGTTTCGTGCTCCGAGCTGAGCATCCCCGCTCCCTCGGAGGCCGGGGCTGCCTAAGAAGCTGAGCTCTCGGCGGAGCCATTTCGCAGCCTCTCGCTCCTGCTACTGCCTTTTAACAGCAACGGAGGGGCCCTGGGAGATCCCCTCCGTGCTGGAGGGATGACTCAGCTCTTGGCCAGCTCCTTCCTGCTTGGACTAGCTGCTAGATTCACTCCCATGTAGCCAGGACCAACACTGAGATTTGTCCCTTGGGATTTTGCCCCCAGGTGTCCCCATCCCAGGCCTGGGCATCACTCCGGGCCAGGATGTGCTGCCAGGTGGAGTTCCCCACATGAAATCCTCTATCTAGAATCCATTCCCATCTGTATGCATCCCCTCCACTCTTCCAGCAGCCTCTCTGCCCCTGCCCACCCAGCATGCACTGTTCCTGGGCTGGTCCACCCAAACCCTCAGGATGTTACTGGGGGTGCTGGGGTTAAGAATTGCTCTTCACATTCCATTTTTATCACACGGATGGAGAGCACCAAAGCCTCTGGCAGTCCAGAGGAAATTGCAGAGATCTCCCTCTCCTGCTCCAGCCTGCGCTGTGGGATTAGGTTATTCATCCCAGAGTGAGAGCCTTTATCCATCTGCCATGGTGGCTGCAGGGGTCCTGCCATCTGGGGCAGCTCCTGCATCCCTTGCTCCCCTCCCAGCCATGATGTTTCCCATCCTCCTTCTTTGCCATCCCTGCCAGCTGGGAGCCTCAGGTGGACTCTGGCTGCTTCCTTTCCCAGCCCCAGGCAGACGTGAGGGAGCTGAACTCGCTGAGAATGTCCAGGTGCTGGGGAGGAGGAGGAGGAGGGGCTTGGGGCTGCTGGAGCAGCGCGGGGAGGAGGAGAAAGCAAAATTGTGTGTGGCCAAGGGCTCCAGGGGCTTGTGCAGCACTGGGATTTCCGCCCATTAACGAGAGTCCAGTCCAAAATCTGAAGTGTGACAAGCTCTTCTTGTGCTCTTCCACATTTCCTTCCTTCCCACTGTACACCGGCTTGCTATGACACTGTCCTTCAGGATGGAAACGCCTTCCCTCTCCAAATCTTCTTCCAAGACAATGAGCACCACCAGCCGTCTCCACTTCTTTGTCCCCACACTGGGTCCATGTTTGGTACATCCCTGTGGTCCAGGGATGCTGGAGAAGGGCATACTCCCTGTGCCCTGCTCAGCTGCTGGACTCCTGGCACACGTGAGCACCCCAAGTGCTATTCCAGTTCAATGCACATCAATTCCAGCCAGAGGAGCCAAAATCTCCATCTATATATTTATATAGGCACTTGCTCCGTAGGTTTTCCATTGCTCCAGGGGTGACTTCCAGAACATCCTCCAAGTGCAGGGCTTAACAGCTTCTTACCAAGCTGTCAGTCATCCTTCCCACAGTACGTACTGTGCTCTCTCCCCCAGAGTGAGGATGATGAAGGTGATGAAAGGCATTTTTGTTGCTCTGCCTTCCTGGCCAGATGGGGAAAAAAAATTAATTCCAGCTCAGCTTTCCATGCAAAGGATGGATCCCCCTGAATGGCGCTACTGCAGAGTGTCTCAAGTCCAGGCAGGAAAGGCAGGAGTCACCATCTGACCCCAAATGAAGGTGAAGATGTATCAGACATAGCTTGTGGCCCATCCTGCCCTGAGATGGACTCCAAGAGCTGGAATGGAATGAAGATTTGGCCCCAAATCGCAGGGAGGGGAGATACTCCAGGGCCTCCTGAAATGACAGATTCAGTGGAAGTTGATGATCTCAACGTGGCTGGGATGTCACAGGAAGGAAAACAGTGACTTGGAAGCTGTGCGTGGTGAGAAGTCCTTGTATGGAGAAGCCAAGAGGTACCCAAGTCCCATTGGGACCAGCAGGATACAACAGGCCATGTGAAATCTTGGAGTCAGAGCTGGCAGTTGACTCCAAAGTCTTCTCTGTCCCCAGTCTGCTCCGAGTTCGGATGCTCAGCCATCCCAGTGCTGCAGCCCACCTTGGCCCTGCTCAGGGTGTCCCACCGGACCACCCACCGGCAGAACTCAGATCAGAAACCCCAAATCCTCCTCTGCACAGCACGCCACTCACCATCCATAACCAGTAGGTGCTTTTCCACCTTTTCAAAGGTTCCTTGGCTGCCGTGGGTGAGCCCAAATGGTGCATCTTGCCGGCAAAATCCCACCGGCAAAACCAGGAGTGAAACCAGGACAAACCCCACCTCCAGAGGGACGTGGCACTGCGTCACCTGCCATGAACCCTGACAAACATCCACAGCCAGGCATTCTGGGGAGGGGAGGTCCAGTGTTTTCACCCAAACACTGAGGGCTTTGGACACCGAGGAAATGTAAGCAGGTTTTTTGGCAGAGCAGCCAACTGGCCCTTTGCCCCAGCTACAGCTGTGCAGGATTTTTTGCAATGTGCACCAACTCACACACATTTAAGTCCGAGCACACATTTCCCTCCAGCTCCCAGAGTTATCCCAAATAATCTGCTGCTAGGAAAACACGGTGGGCAGCACAGACAGGCAGTCGAGCTAGCTAGAAACGGATATGATTCAAACATATGGGTAAAAAGATGACAATTTTCTGCCTCACTCCCAGCTTTCAACCCTCCTATACCCCAGATATAACACCTCCATGAAGTTTTTACCCACGCTGGCCCTTCAGACCCAAAAAGCTGCAGCTCAGGCAGTGGGTGCCGTGGTGGGACCAACCCTGCCCGCCTGGCAGGACGCTCTGAGCTGGGCCTCTCCTGACAGGCGCCTTTGCCAGCGACAAAATCTGGCACAGTGAGAAAATTCAATGCGCTTGCAAGTTTTCCCTGCGCTCTGTTTGCAAGGGCTTTGCTGGATTTGGAGCTGTTTGCCTCCCCACGCTCCCCCCCCGGCTCCCAGCCAGCACCCAAATCCTACTGGAATGGCCCCACGGTCTCCAAGCAGCAAGTCCTGGGGCACTCATCTCCCACCCAGGGGGAGGAGAAGAGGGTGGTGAGTGGGATTAAGTTTGAATGGGGGAAGGGTGCCCCTGCCCACCCCCACTTCCCAGGGGGATGCAGTGAGCAGCCTCAGCCCCCCATGAGTCCACACTGGGCAAGAAGAGGCTGTTGCCACCACAAAAGTGGAGGAGGCACCTTCCCCCAGCCAGCCAAAATTAAGCTTTTAGCTTCGGAAAAGGGGGCTGGAGCCAGGTAGACCTCCTCCTGGATGCCCTGCCACCCGTTCATCCAGAGTGCAGCAGAGCCAGCCCATCCTACAGCCAGGTACCACGGGGACCCCATCCTGCCTAGGGTCCCAGCCCCACGGTTCCCACTGGTGCTTGAACTCGCTGTGCCCCATCCCAGGCTGCCAGGACCCAGTGACAGCCCCACCAGGCTGGTGCCCCGAGCCAGCAGCGCTGGTCTGGCTAGAGAAGGTCAAAAGGCTCGGTGTGTCCCTGTCGGGTGGACGGAGCGGGGAGGGGAGCGGAACGAAACGGGGCCTTCGCCTGTCCCTTGCACAACCCGTAAGGGATCCATCCTGCTGGCTGCCAAGCCGAGGGACAGACCTCGTGTCCCCAGCATGGGTGGCACGGCCAGGGCAGATCATGTCCCCATCGTAGGGGGCAGGGGACATCGTCTGGGAAGGCGTCCTGCAGAGTTGGGAGGTGCGACCCTGCCCTGGGGGGATCCCCACATCCCCCCACATCCCCCCACATGCCCCCGCGTTTCCTTGCTGTGCCTCCCACGCCCCACATCGGACACCCGGGTGCGGGCAGAGGGAAGCGACACCTGCCCCGCTCATTCCTAGAGAGAAACCCTGCTCAGCCCGGGCTGTGTGTGCGCCCCATCACTCACCCTTCTCCCACCACAGCATCCACGGGGGTTCAGGGCATGCACCCCCGGAGCCCCTGTGCACCCCCGGAGCCGCTGTGCACCCCCTGCGCACTGCCATCCCCCGACTCCCCCGGACACCCCCAGACCCCAGCACCCCCGCTGCCCTCCCCTCTGCGCGCCCACCCAACCACTGACCCCTTCCCCCGTCATTTCTGCACTTACCCTGGCCCTCGCCCGGCGCCCCCGGCGCTGCCCCGGCTCCCCAGCCACGACCGTACCCGCGGTGCCGGTGCCGGTGCCGCCGCCCGCGCAGCCCGACTGCACCGGGAGGAGGCGGCGGGCAGGAAAGTTGCGGCAGCTCCGCCTCGGAGCGGGGCCCGGGGGCGGCGGGCGGGCCGGGGCCGGGGGTGGCGGGTCTCGCCGTCACTGCCCCTGCCCCTGCCCGCCCCGGCAGACCGACCGACCGACCGGACGGGACGAGTCTCCCTCCCCGGTGGCACCGGCAGCCGTCCCACCGCCCCCGGTGTCCCTGCTCCGCTGCTTCTCGTCCCGGCTGGGTCTGCCCTGAGCAGCCTGAGCCGGCTGCGGGCTGAGAGCAGCCGGGACATCCCCTTACCCAGCCCGGGGCACCCCCTTACTCAGCTCTGTGCATCCCCTTCTCAGCCCGGGCCATCCCCTTATCTCATCCTGGGGCATCCATCTCTCCCAGCCCTGCACATTCCTCTTACCCAGCCCTGAGCACCCTCTTACCCAGCTCTGAGCATCTCCTGACCCCCTTTTCCCTCCTCCCAGCACTGCTGAGGACCCGCAGCACCTTACGTTTCAGACGCTGTTGGGGATGTGGGGATTTCTCCTTCTGTGGTTTTCCCCAGTGCCTAAAGGTTTCAGGCACTTTGGAGAGGGGCAAAAATCCAGCACCGGTGTCACTGCCCTGGGGACCTCCTGGGAAGAGCACAGGAAGGCCTCTGGCAGAGATGGTCTGCTCCCAGTGACAAGGGGACCACAGACCTGGGCAAGATGATCCCTGGGGAGCCAGCATCACCTCTCACCTCCAGCACCTCACTGCCAGGCAGGGCTGCGGGTGAGACCAGCCTCACCCCCTTCCTGTGCCTGTCCACGCTGCAGGATGAGCTCTTGGCCTGAATTTTTGCCTTTCTAATTTCCTCTCTTCCTGCCCCTCTGTGCTTTTTTGTGCTTTTCTGGTTTTTGAGGGAGCCTGGCGCTGCCTCGGCAGCCCCCAGGGAGCGAAACCTTCTGTTTATTTGCACACCAGACAGAGAAACCAGTCCTGCCTCCTGCATCTCCCAGCCTCTGCCTCTACCCGGGGCTCCTGCGCTCCCAGCCTGCCCCAAGAGGTGCCAACCAGCCCGGGCCGCCGTGCCGGATATTTGGGAGCAGCCAGCCTGGCCTTGGGCTGCTGGATGGGGACCAAAGGGGCACCTGGGACCCGCCTGGGTGGGTCCACACAGCTCGAGGCGGTTCACCCGCTTGGCTCCCAGCTCCCAGGGCCAGCCCTGCATCACTTTGGGTGTGGATGGATGCACCCTTTTCTCCTGCAGAAGCTGAATGGTGTGGGAGCTCCGGTACCCTCAGCCAGCCAAGGACAAGAAGAGCAAATCCCTGACACCTCCCAGGGATGCTCCTGCAGACACCCTGATGCAGGGACAGGCTCCAACACCACCTACAAGGGCACCTGCCCTTCCCTCCCTCCTCTGCACTGAACCAAACCTCTCTTTCCCAAACCTGCAGGCTTTCTGCAAAGTCTCAGAGCTGCTCCCAGCACTCAGGACCCTCAGTGACATCCTGCCTGGAGGCTCTGGAAAGTCTGACGGGTCCTGCAGGCAGTGGCTGGTGGTGATCTCACTTGGAGGGGGAGGAAACGGGACAGACAAACTCTTTCCAACAAACCTGTTGAGTTACTTTAAAATTCCAGGCTGGCAGCAAAAGTGCTGGATGGCGGCGCGGGTTAGGAAAATGCTGAGCCTGGACAGAGTCAGGCCTGACCTTTCCCCACCGCAGATCTGCCATCCCAGAGCAGTGAGAAATGGGAAGACTATTTGGGTCCATCTGGTTTGTGTGCTGAGCCCTGAAACACGATGCTGCTGGGGCAGCCGTGAGCCAAAGGGCTTGGCTGAGCTTCCCAGCCTGTGTCCCGTCCAGGAGCTGCTGGTTTGGAGGATGTCTGACCCTGCAAAAAGGCAGGGGAGGGATTCTGGACACCGGGTTCATGTCGAGCATCCCCAGCCGGTCCCACCCCACCCCACCCCACCCTGGGAGCTGCTTTGGGAAACCACACTCTGAGCTGAGCAGCAGCATCCGATAACACCATCCCGTGGGGACAGGGACACACCTGCCTCAGCGCCGTGTGGCAGCTGAGATAACAGCTGGGCAGGAGCAAAATAGAAAGAGGGGTGGAAACAGGGTTTAAAAGTGATCCAGTGCCTGTAAGAGGATGGATTCTGTGGGAGCATCTCCCACACGGCGGTGGGGAGGTCCAGGCATGGGAGCAGCCACAGGAACCCTAGATATGCGCCTGTGTTTGTGTCACCACGTCTGAAGGGACAGTCACGGGCAGAGAGGAGTGGCAGGCTGTGACGCAGGCTGTGAAGCGAGGCGGTGGCAGAGAGCACTGTAGGAACCAACTGGCCTGAAATAAAATGCTTAGTCTTTTAAACCAGGGGCTGACAGGAATGGCCCCAAGCCATGTGAGGGATGCTTGGCCACCCCCAGCTGATAGGGGAGAGGTGTCCCTGTTCCAGGCAGAGCCCCAGGAGCTAGCCCTGATCACCCAGCTCTGGGCATGGTCCCACTGAGCCCCATGGCTGGGGTGAGGGCTGGGAATTCCACCCCGTTCATGCCCTGCTTGGGGATGGGTTGAGTTCTTGGAGATGGTGGGAACCCGCCTGCTGCCTTCCCACCCCCCTCCCGAGGAAAGCCACAGATTCCTCCTTATTTTTAAGGCCAGAGAGATCATCTCAAGCTAAAATAGTCCCAACATCTCTGCTGGGAGCCTGGGACCTCTAACCCTATGGAGGTCCTGCCCTGGGAAGAGCTGGGTGTTCCCAGCAGGAGCACAGCAGTGCCTTTCTGGATGGGGGACAGTGGCCAAAGGGGTTTCTCTTACCTGCTTTCCTTGGCTCTGTGTCAGGGTTGATGAGGACCCGTTGGATCTTCACCACTTTCCACTCCTGGCTGGGCTCGGCTGTGGGGCTGTCTGCTGTGGGGGGCAGCTCTGGGGCAGAGCCAGGGCACTTGCAGGGGGCTGCAGGCCCTCCTGCCAAAGCCAGGCTGCTGCCATCCAGTGTGGGATGTGGTGCATCCCCATTGAGCTCCCTGGGCTCCCTCTGGCAGCTCCCACTTGACTTCCCTCCCGGCAGTCCAGTCCGTCTCTCCTGCTCACCTGGCTCTGAAGTAGAAACACCCTGGAGCTGATGGCACCTCTGCCCCCCTCTGCTCCCCCTCTCCTGCCAACAGCCACTGTTCCCCTCAGTGTCCCCCTCGGCCATCCCACAGACACGGGGGGTCTGCACAGCCTCGCTGGGCACAGGGCAGCCAGGCTGGGGGTGGAGGCAGGACTGCTGGAGCCTTGCCCTCAGCATCTTCACTGCTTCCCTTCACTGGCACTCCACGGCCTTTCCAACCCACTTTGCATGGCCAGGGGGCTGAACCCTCCCTGTCAGCCCCCCTCAGAGCATGGGCAGCGTCTGAGACGGAGGGAGCTGAGCACGAGCTCGGCTTTACTCCTCTTGCAGGCAGGAGGACCAGGCACAATGTCACCAGAGCAGGCAACTTCTGGAGACGCAAATGGAGGGGTCTGGCCAGGGGAGACAGGTCAGCAAGAAGGGTTTTGCAGGAATTTCTCTTTTTTTGCAGGCAGAGGATCAGCATCCAAGGACCTGTGTGAAGGGAAAGGGGAGGGTTGAGGATGCTTGTGCACACACAGATTTCCTATGGCCTGGCTCCCTTCCCTTTGGCAGCCCAGAGGTGGCTATGGACACCCTGACAGTGGTCAGCACTGGGGAACCATTGCACCTCTGGAGCTGGGACCATTGGGGAAAAAAACAGTCCCTGAGGATGTTTATCAGGGTTATCAGGAACAGAAAAGAAAAATTTCCAGCATCCAGTTAACAAAACTGGGTTTAACCATTGAGTGACTCATGTGGCGTCAGGACAAGAGCAGACAGACCCACTTCCCTCCTGTCGAGCATAAATCCTGCTGGATGACGAACCCACGCACTGACACAGACGAGGTATCAGCTGGGAGAGGGGGATATCATCACTCCCAGGACAGGATATGGGTTACAGCCTACGGAAATTCCTGTGAGTCCTTCGCTCAGCACAGCATCACCCAGCCCTGCTCACAGCAAGGCTGGGTCCCACGGAGGTGCCCTCTGCTGCCTGGAGACCCACAGCGCCCAGGGCACACGGATCGGATCACAGTGGATTTCCCAGCCCAACAGCCAGCTGAGGAGTAAAGGAGGTTTCTGTTCATCCCACCCCTTCCCTGAGTTATTGCAAGGTTTTTCAGAGAAATAAGAAAAGGCAGCAGGTCAACAGCGCAGGCTGAGCTCTGGCAGGAATACACCCTGCAGCTTCCTCGAGGCTCACACAGCTTCTCTGCAAAACTTCTCCCATCCTTAGCAAGGTTATTTTGGAAAAGAAGGCAGATTTGAAGGCAGGCACTTGGGCATTTCCCAAACACAAGGCTGCATTTTTTGGAGAAAGCCCAAAGGAAATCTTCTGCCCTTTCTGAAATCCTTCCTCCTGCCTCGCTCTGCTGCAATTATTCAACACAGATTTGCAATGAGATCCTGGGGGGGGAGAACGTCAATGTTTCTCTCTGAAAAAGGAATCTCACCCTGTTCTTTACGTAATTTGGGGGCCCAACAGTTGCAGGAAGCCACCCACATTTTTCCTTAGAAACATGGCAAGTTGTTGGAGCTGGAGGGAGCTGGAGAGAGCTGGAGGGAGCTGGCTTATCTCAAACGAGGACAAAGTTGCCAAAAATATCTCCAGCCCAGCCCAGGTCAGTGGAGATCCTCTCGGAGCGGATCTGCATCTCCCCACTCCCATTCCCTCACCCTATCCCTAAGGAGCAGGTTTCTTGGGCAGCACAACTCACACTCATCCTACACAGTAGCTGCTTTGATACTTTGCTGGGGGAGCTGGTACCTCCCTGAAAACCATCTTCCAAAGCCGCCCCCTTTCCACTCGGGAGCGCTTTCTGCAAATGGGTGTATCCCAGGGAGCGACGCCCACAGTCCCGGTGTTCCCCAGGCAAACCCCTCCTTGGTGAGACCTGAGTGGTGTTCCCCAAGGACACGCTGCTGGGACGGGGCCACCCACGCCACCAAAATACTGAGTCAGGCATCTGCTGCATCCCTGGGAGCCAAGTCTGGGCCCAGCACGGTGGAGGGGGAAACAGCAGCAGAGCTTCGGAGAGCAGCCGCCTTCCCCCTGGGACACAGCTCCTGGGTTCTACAAGCAGCACAGAAAGGGAATATTTATGAGTAACGTGGATCTCTAGCAAAAGCTGCTGGGCTGATCCCGTCTGCTGGAATACCGGCTGGGTGGGATGGGTGTACATGCCTCGGGTGCACTGGCAAAGACGAGTAGCAGCGCCAGCCTTGTCCACCAAACCAGGCTGAGGTAGCCCCCATCTGCAAATGGAGATTGTAAAGGGCGATGAGGGTCATTTGGGGGACCGTTTCAGGGGTGCAGCAACAAAGGATGCCTGAGTTGGGCACTGGTGCCCAGCTCACAGCCCCAACAAGCAGCTAGCCCACCATGCCCCTCTGAGAGGCTCCTCACGCTTCCTGACAGCAGCAAGTCCCTATGAGAAGCTGCAAAATTGTGCTGGGGAAGGAATAATAACAAAAAAAATCCCCTCTTCAATTCACAAAGTGCTGAAATCTGGCATCAAGGAGACCTTTTGCTCAACTTCTCTTCCTGCCCACTCGCTGGCGGGTGATGCACAGCCCCCCCACCTGCCTTTCTCACACCCTGCCACCTCCCCTCCTATTGAAAAAAGGAAAACTAAAGTTAACTTTCCACGTCCCACACAAATATTTTTGGCAGGCGTTGCTGGCATTCAGGCTGCTGAGCCCGGGGGAGACAGGGTCTGCAGAAAGTCTCTGTCTCCATCTGCTCGCAGCGCCCGGCTGGGTGCCTGGGCTGGTCTGTCCCACAGAGGAGGGGGGGCACAGCTGTAGAACAGTGGGGTGCACCTCCAGGACAGCCCTGGGGACTGCGGGTGGCCCAGCCATGGGTTTGCCATTAAGTGGGGGGCAGATTCGCTCCCCAAACTTGGGCTGTGTCCCAGGTTTCCCGTGTTGTTCCCAGGCACATCCCTGCCTCACACTGGGTTTTCGTCATCGTGGAACAAGCCAGGAAGGGGTGTGAAAGCTGTCCCCAGCGCAGCGAGGGCTCTCGGGTTTCCTGGGTCAGGCAGCGGGTCGCTGTCACTCAGTCAGAACCCTGCTGCCCAGACTTGCAGTCCCCAGCTCCAGTCACAAGATCAGCCCTGTCCCTTTCCAAAATAGCCCGGTCACAACGTATACACCCAGGGAGCTTTGCACCTCCCCTGTGCCAGCAGCTGAATGTCCCCTCGGGGGAGCTGGGCACCTTCCTTCCCCACGTGGCACCTTCCCCTCGTGGCACCACAGACAAGGGGACTGGGTGGCCGCATCCCCCAGGGGCAGCCCCACATCCCTGAGGTTCCTGTTTTCCTGTAAGGGATCGCTGCCCTCACAGCTGATACCAGAGACACCTCTGGGGTGTAGCCGTCACCCAGCGACATTTGGCCGCCCTGTGTGCAGACACTCTCCCATCTGCTGCAATCCAATACCCTCACAGCTCCCTGGATACCTGGCCAGGATGGCCCAGCCGTGTGCTGAGGGGGAGGCACGGTCGAGCTGCCTGTGGGGTGACCCCCTGTACATGAGCACCCCACCACTAAACCCCAAAGCCCTGCATGGCTGGGGCCGGTGTGGTGTCACCCCGTGCCACCCTGATATCCTTCCACAGGACAGCACTGCCACTTCCAGCAGGAAGGGGATGGCAACAGGAGGGACACGGCAGGGCTGTGCAGGATGGATGGAGGGAAGCCTTCTCCGTGGGGGTCCAGCGGCCAGGGAAGGCGCACAAGGAAACTGGGATGGGATGTGATTGCTTCCCTTGGCGTGACAAGACAGACCCTGTCCCTGGAGCGATCCCTGGGAGTGTGGACAAGCATGGCTACATCCTGGCTCCTGCAGGCGAGGCCAGGGCTGGCAGGCACAGCAGCCGGCAGCGTGCTGGGGAAAACAAAAGCCCTTTGCAGCGCTGATTTACTACCTTGACGGAAGCCAGGATGGAAAAAACAACATTCCTGAACGCCTGTCCCCGTGCAACCCCTGCGGTCCCCACTGCCCCAGCCTGTCGGTGGGGTCACGGGCTGCCAGTCCCGGCAGGTGGGTGCCCTGTGTCCTCATTCCCTGCCCACATCTGGAGGGGAGAGGCAGCAGGAGGAACACCGGGGGTGGCACGGGGGCTGAGGGGCATGAGGGGAGTTGTCCTGATTAAGCAGTGAGCAAAGCAAGGGAGGAGGAGGACAGTGGCATCCTGGCCAGCTGGACCATGTCACCTCCCTGTCCACCCCATGCTGGATATGGGCTGATTGCATCCCTCTGCACCCCTGCATGGTTCCTCATGCCAGCCCTGGGTTTGTCCCTCCAGGTTCAAGGAGGAGTGGAATTCTCCCTGGGCAGATCCCATTTCTGCTCCCAGTCATTGAGGAGGCTGAGAGTGGGCTGGAGAGCAGGATCAGGGCCTGAGGAAGGGGATAGTGGGCCCTTGGAGGGCAGCACAGTGCAGGCTGGGCTCAGTGGGGTGGAATGCATTGTGCACCCCAGCACAGACACCTCAGCCCAGCCCCAGAGGGTGTTTGTCCCCACTCCACCACCTTCACTGGATTTTGGGGATTTTGGTCAGGTTTTGGTGCTCAGCACACCCACTCACTTCCTCAGCCCACCTTCCAGCCCCAGTCTAGGGGGCTCCAACAAACCCTGATGCTCCACTGGGATGTCTATCCATTGAATATCAGCCTGTGCACTCCAGCCAAGTGACACTCATCTTGCTCTGCTCTACTGGCTGGGTTCAGAAGTAAATCTACCCCCTCCCATCATCCCTAAGGGGCCCATCTGACCTGGGGGTCCCAACCAGACAATCCTGGGAGCTGCCTGTCCTCTGACTGCACAACACAGTCCCACACAGGGCAGGTCCCAGCCTGTCCTGCCCTTTGCTCAGCTTGAACCCTGACCCCAGCTCCAGCTGCTGCGTTCCAGGGAATGAGGACAACCCCAGCCTGGCTCTCACAGCTGCCTCAAGCCCTTCTCCTCAGTGCAGTTTTAGGGAACAAAATACCAGGTTTGACAAGCCCTGCCATGTCCCATCAGCTCAGCCTGATGCAAGCCCAAGGTGCCAATGGGGTGGGTGGCTGTCCCCAGGGACCCCTGGTCAGCACTGCTGGAGCCTCAGATCGCTGCAGAAAGGCAGGGATGAAAACTGCAGCTCAGCCTTTTCAAAGCTCAAAGGAAATATAAAAAACCAGGGAGGTCCA